AATCATTTTCACAAAACATAGTCCTTGCCATTTCCTCAATAGTATGATTTTTCCATTCAACCACTACATTTTGTTGAGGAGTTCTATGTGCTAAATAATTATGATTAATACCATGTTCAATGCAAAAGTCTTCAAAGTCATCATTTTCAAATTCTCCCTCATGACACTTCTAATAAAAGCAATAGGTAAACTTTTTTTTCATTTTGAAGCATTTTGTAAAGGCTTTTGAAAGCATCAAGTGCATCTTTCTTATGTGCGAGAAAAGCTATCCATGTAAATCTAGTGTAGTCATCAATCACCACAAGCACATATGATTTTCCTCCAAGACATAGAGTGTGCATAAGTCCAAACAAATCCATATGAAGTAATTCAAATGAGTTTTTTTTTTTTTTTTTGTAGATATACACTTCTTCGCTTTAATTTTTGTAGATATACACTTCTTCGCTTTAAAGGAAAGTCTAGTTTACTTATTCTTCATGTGTGCAGCACACACACCATCATCATGAAATATGGAAGCAGGAAAAACATTAGCATCTATGCCATGCAAATCAATCACATACACATTTTTAAGCCTTTTGCCAACAAACAACACTCTATCATCTCTAAAATCAATAATCTTGCAATGAGATTTAGAAAATATAAACACTAAGTATACAATCACCCAATTGACTAATACTAAGCTAGTTATGTTTCAATTCATTTACATACCAAACATCATCAAAGGAAATAAATTTGTTAATTTTACCAATTCCTTTCCCATTGTCACCAAAGGTCATAGTTCCTCCATCCAAAGGCATATGTGATGACAATCGTGAAAGATCACCTGTCATTTGCCTTAAGCATCCATTATTTAGATATCATTTGTTCTTCATTTTGCTCACAGAGCACACTTACACAACAAAATTTAATTTTTGATCTTAGATACCCAAATTTGCTTGGGTCCTTGGGGGTTAGTGCTTATAGTTCCTTTTCGAACCCAAATCTACTTCACTTTGTCTTGAGTTATCAACCTTTTCAAAGGACATACATAGGCAAAGTGTCTTTCTGCATCACAACAATAGTAAATAATTTTAAGATTAAAGGATTGACTTACTCTTATAAAAAGTTCTTAAAAGTCCTTTGCCTTTTAGAATAATCAAATCCAACGCCCCTTGGTCAAAAACACTTCTTTGAGAATTCAAAATAGAATCAAATTTTTCTTGAAGTGAATTTAGAAATCACTTTTTCAATATCACAAACTCTCTTTTTCAACTCCTCATTTTCCTTGTTTAAAGCATTATTAGATTCTTCATCCTTCAAACATGCAATCTCAACATTTAAGGAGGCATTCTCTTTAACTAAAATCTCATTTTGTTTTGAAAGAGATTTAATCTCATTTTAAGCAATGGAATAGTTTTAGTAAAAGCAAGATTCTCATTCCTTAGTTTCTTGATATCATTCATAAAGCAATCAAGAACTTCACACAAATCATCATAACAAATACTCAAATGAACTTTCATTAATTGAACTAGAGAAGTTATAGTTTACCTTCTCATCATTATTGTTATCCTCTTGAGCCATGAAGTAAAGATTTGCAACACTATTCTTCAAGGAGCTATCACTTTTTGTTGAGCTAGTCTCATCATCACTCTATGTGGCGACAGAAGCTTTCTTCTTCATGCCTTTCTTGTCT